AAAATACGTATATTTATCGAGCGGATTTTCAAGATGTTCCCATACGCCCAGAATTCCAAGTTGGATGTGGGCTGAGAATAACCCCTTAAAATTTCAGCTTCCCAGCTTTTCTGGTTCCTGAGTTAGCGATTTTCCAAGCAAAAAATTTCACCATACGTGAGAACCACGCTCACCTGGGGCTAAATAGTTTGTGAATGAAAATGCTTATTTTACATGTATTCAAAAATATGTGTGAAAACATACATGTGTCGACGGAGACCCCTGAACAATGTCCATCGTGTTAGCTGGTGGTAAATTTGCTTCTGGATTTTTCGCTTTATCTTTGTTCATTGCATAATCACCAGAGTCAAAAAATTTCTGCAAGAAAAAAGACAATAACGAAAAGATATTTCTAATAAACCGTCTTTTGATAAATCCTAACAATCCCGTAAAATATCCCCTTCGTTTCTGGATAATTCAATTCGGCGCCTACGCAAAAAAGGGCCAATCTGCGGGAAAAAAATAAAATCTATGATATCACACTAAGCCTTGAAAAAAAAAAAAAAAACAAAAACTCATTTTTAGAGGGCATAAACATTTATATCATCATAAAACTGACTGAATGCTCATAATTCGCACTCATGAGAAATTATTTTCTTTTTTACAACGATTATTTCCAACGAAAAATCAAAAAATACCTAGATTTCCCGATCAAATCAGTGTGGGTATCCCATGTTAGTGATGTTATTGGAATGCTCCCAAATGATAGGTGAAGCTAGTGAATCAGTGCACCATAAGTCCGTGCCGTTCTTCATTAGATTGGCTCTTCACCCTCCATATTCATCAGATTTAGCCCCTTGAGATTTTATCTTTCTTTCCGGTCTCTTTCTAACAACATTCAGGGACAAGTGTTCCATGATGAAGCATTTCTTAGCAACTGGCTTACGTATTTCTATCACTGAGTGAGAATGTGTGAGTGATTTATTTTAATTTCGGTAAACGAAATAACCACTTCGATATAAATATCTTTGAAATGCCCTACATCGTGCAGCAAGTGCGAATCGGGAAGGTATGCGATTTCCAATATGAATGATAAATGCTCTAACAATATTTTATCCGTTGCTTTTCGGCTAGTTTCCGAGTTACCACAGTTGGTATGTGTTTAAGCAAGATGTAAGGGAATAAAGAAGGAAATGTGAATAAATTAAAAAATGATTTCTGTATCAGTATTTTATTGTACGGTAATATAATGTAGTGTATTTTATACTAGTAAGACGGCATGGACTTATGCAACGACTCAAAATATAAAGTCCTTCGACTCTAAGCTGCACACCTTCCAGTTAGTACCCACCGCTTGCTCGATATATTTGCTCCATCTTCTTAGGAGTCGCCAGAGGGGCGAATTTTTCCTCCAGACACCACCCACTAAATACTTCACATCCGTCGATTACCAGTAATATGCCCTGCCTATCGGATTTTACTTTCTCGTACGGCCGCAATGATACCCGTCCTGTACGCTATTTACTTGACAGAGAGCCTGACTGTTTATATGGTCACGAAGAAACACAATAAGCACAGTCTTCTCGGTCACTGCCAGTGCTTCAGTTGTTCAAACTTTCATAAAAGTGATCACGTTTCGCATCCGTACGTCTCTTATTCTGTACAATAATTACTGAAGGGGTAGGCACGGTTTTTCCTG